GTATATATATTTTTAGTTGGTCAATTAATTTATTTCTATTTTTGGTAGAGATGGGGTCTCGCTCAGGCTGGTTTCGAACTCCTGACCTTGAGCAATCCACCCGCCTCGGCCTCCCAAAGTGCTAGGATTACAGGCGTGAGCCACCACGCCCGGCCTAGACTGTGATTCTTTAATAGCCTAATAACTAAGGCTTTGAGTGATATCCACTGCTGATACAGGAAGTGTAGTTTTTGGTAAAGCTTTCTGATCCTGGCGTTGATGCCATGATGGAGTCCTTTCTATGGCAGTTCTGCCTGCCCACCCCTAACCTGCCTCCACCAGACTCAACCTGCCCCCCAGGTACCTGCTGCCCTCCTCAAGGATGATGGGCACGAGGGCTCGTAACCTCTAAGGCGTTGGAGAGAGGTCAGAGTGGATGACACCACCTCTTACCTTGCTGGCAGAGCGTGTCAGTTCATCTAGGAAACGCACTGACTTGGCTTGCCAATTTGAAAAAACAAAACAGAACCTCAAGGATGACCCTGACACCTCCGCTGTGAGCCACTCTCAGCAGGGACCTTCTCTCTCCCGGCAGTGCCTGGCAAATGCATATTCATGGGAGGAATGAAATAAAATGAACAAATTCCTTTGTGCGTAAGGCAGCGAGGGTCTCTGAACTCTGAGAAATAAACTCTGCCCGTTGTCATTAGGGACCCACTTAAGCTTTTAAGCCAGCTGGGGCTCAGGAAGGGAAGAAACAGCACTTACTATGTTAGGTACCTTAAATTCATTCTTTTTAAATCCTCACCGTAATCCTGTGAAAGGGGTTTTATCATCTCTGCTTTTAAAATCTGAGAACTTTGAGGCCTCGAGATGCGAATTCACTTGCTCAAGGTCACACGCCTGTAGGACCGGTGCTGGGAATACAAACCCAGGAATGTCTAACTTCAAACCCCGAGTTCCTACTCTGCAGGCTGCTTTCCTGATTCTAAAGGCCTGAATACTCATCTTACTTTAAAATGTGTTTCTATTTCCCTAGTGAAATGACCAAGAACAAAAAAGGAAAAAAAATCCCATTTCTTTTGGTAAAATTGGGAAACACCATTGAGCCCCAACTCCCAGCTCCATGAAAGGCTGCCCAGTGCATAAAATGAAACTTGGGCAGTGAGAGGAGGTGTAAGACGCTGGAGATAGCTGGCCATGGGGTGCTAGAGCTCCTTGTCTCCAAATTCAGAGTCACATGCCTAGAGCAGACAGCATTGGCTTGCCTGGAACCACGCAATTGGGGTACACGGGCCCCCTGCCAGCCTCACCAGACAGTACAGAGCACACAGCCTTCCAGTTCATCTGAACAGCCAGTCAGCACCCAGACTAACACTGTCCACAGATCAGCTCATTAGAGCCGCAGATTCTCAGGCCCCGCCCCGGAGCTCCCAAGTCAGAATCTGCATTTTAACGAGTTTCACAGTGATTCACATCTACTGTAAAGGTGGGGTATCACTAGGCTAGACTGCAAGAATTCTGTGGCTATCTATCCAGGCAACAAACAAACCAACATCATCACATTGCCTGTAAGAGGGAAATAGGTCAGTATAGCAGTATTCAATGCGAACAATGTCCCCAGAATCCTACAGGGAAAAGAGTGGGTATAAAACTCTCAGGTTTTATACTAAAACTGTCACTCAACTATAAAATCAAAGGACGGATGTTTTCAAACATGCACAGTTCAGCAATTACACGTCCCTTGAGCTCATTTTGAAGAAAACAAAAGAGGACAAATTTAGCTCACCAAGACATCCACATAGAAGTTCAGTAAGCACCTAGCCATTTAAAAATACAAATTAGTGCATTTTAGTGTGTGTAAATTTTATATCAGAAGAGGAACTTGAATACTGAGCTCTGGTTAGTGAGATATACACGCTGGGCAAAGTGTATCGATGATATATATAAAGAAGATGGATTGATGGGTGGATAAATACATGATAAAATGAGTACAGTTGGGCCCCGCATAGCTGTGGGTTCTACGTCTGTGGATTCAAAATATATATTTTCAATCCATCAACCTGGATTGAAGATATATTTTTTTAAATTACATCTGTATTGAACATGTACAAACTTTTTTCTTATACTGTAAATGATACAGTATTATGACTATTTACATAGCATTTATGTTGCATTAGGTATTAAAGTAATATACATATGATTTAGAGTATATAAAGGAGGATGTGTGTAGGTTATATGCAAATACTGTGCCACCTTCTGTGAGGGACTTGAGTATCATAGATTTGGGTATGCTGAGGATGTCCTGGAACCAGTCCCCCCGGATCCTGAGGGGCAACTGTATAGTAAATGGTTAACAGCAGAATCTAGGTGGCAGGTGTACAAAGGTTCCCTGTACTATTCTTTTCGCTTTGCTGTATGTTTAAAAATTTGCATTAAAAAGTCAGAATAATCTAACTAAGCCTCCCTTTGTGGGAGAATAATGCTTACAAGATAGAATGCAAACACACACCGTGTCCTTATAGGAACAGTAATTTAGGAGAAGAAAAGGAGAGAAGGTGCAGGGCTGTGTAAGCTGCTACTTTCCCCATCCTGAGCAGTGGAGAGCAGGATAGTCAATAGCTATTGTTTAAAGGTGATAAATCACCTGAGGGTGTAAAATGTTCGCTCAGAGAAATCAGCCGAAACCTGACAGGTGGAAGGCGCAAAGAGTGGGAGTGCCCCAGTATGGTCACTGCGGGTCTTGGAGAATCGGTAGATAGAAGGTAAGTGCTTTCAAGACAAACTAGGGCCACAGAAGGGATCTCTGAGATACGATGTCAAATGGGAACGGTAAGGCTGCAGTCCCCAACCCCCCAGGCAGGGGACTGGTACAGGTCTGTGGCCTGTTGGGAGCTGGGCCACACAGCAGGAGCACAAAGCTTCATCAGTATTGACAGCCGCTCCCCATGGCTTCCATCACCGCAAAAGCTCCGCCTCCTGTCAGATCAGTGGCAGCATTAGATTCTCAGAGGAGCAAGAACTGTACTGTAAACTGCACATGCCAGGGATCCAGGTTGGGCTCCTCCTGAGGATCGAATGCCTGATGATCCCAGGTGGAGCTGAGGCGGTGATGCTAGTGCTGGGGAGCGGCCGCAAGTACAGATTATCATTAGCAGAGAGGGTTGGCTACACAATAAATGTAATGCACGTGAATCATCCCGAAACCATCAATTGTCCTCCATGGTGCCAAAGAGGTTGAGGACTGGTGTGGTATAGGGGTACTCTCATTTGCGACTGAAAAGAAACTCAAAGAGATGCGTAGCTGACCTTGAGAAAGATACTGTTATCAGTGGTTTCCTTTTGGGATACAGAGAATGCTTGGGAAGAGTTCTGTTCTTTTATACTAAATCCAAGCACACTTTTGAGATGTATTCCCTTCCCCGTGACTTGATGGGGGAGGGGAAGATTCAGCTCCAGCTTGGCCTCCCCCCCCACTTCAACCCTAAATAAAACATTTAAGTGGCTGTCAGACACGGGTCTGGATTGTAAATAGGGAATGGCTCTCAGAAGAGGATGATCAATAGCTCTGCGAACTGCCGAGGGACAGGAAGATTTCTTCCCATTGGAAATCTTTACAGAGAAAACACACTCCCTGGTGCTGTGCTTTGTAAAGACCTGAGTGGAGGAAATGGACGTGAGGATTCACGACTCCTTTGAGTCTTTCAGCCTCAGGAGTATTTAAGGAATTGAACCACAGCTGCAATCACTCTAAATTCTCAATGTGGAATGTTCTTTGGGTTTTAATGTCTTCTGAGTGAATCATTTTTATTTCTAGATGGGAGATATTTTTAACCTTGCTTCCCTGTACGGACCTGTCAGTCAAGGCTGCTGGCCACTCTGCCCAGCCATCAGGATGGGGACCTGGGACTTCCAGAAAGTCAGAGACCAGCCTGGGACCCAGACTTCTCTACTCCTTGAACTGGGCCTGTGATCCCCTGGGTATCCCAAGAAATGTAAGGTCTGCCATCAATTACACGCCATTGTGTTTTCTCCCCCGCTTCTGCTGCAGGATTTCGGTCTGTTCCTCTGAAGAACGGGTACAGCGAGGACATCGAGCTTGCTTCCCTCCTGGTTTTCTGTGAGATGCGGCCAGTCCTGGTGAGTGGGAAAGGCCCGTCGGGGCTCCCCGAGCTGTGCCTGCTGGTGGGGTGGGTTATCTAGCCCAAGCGTGAGATTCACAAAAGAATTCCTTTTTTGCTCTAGCAGTCATGGGTTTCTCCTCCCAGCATCTTCCTTTCTTGGAGAATGCTGTGTGACTCTGTGAGTCAGAAAGGGCAAAGGTCTTGGAAGTTTCTCAGAGCATTATTTAGACCAGTTAATGCTCCTCTAGGTAAGCTCATCCTTTCTGGCTGCCTTTTCTCTGCCTGTTGGTCTTTGGCAATCCCTTCCCGTGGTCTTGAGAGCCTTAGCCCATCCTGGGGACTCCAAGTTCCCATAGTAAGGTGGTACTTTTGTGACTGCTCCTGGAGCAGCCTCCCTTACTTGGTCCTCTTGGTTTGCCGTGGCCTTGAAGACACTTAGTCTCTTCACTTCTCTTTGGCTGACCTCAAAAAAAAAAAAAATTGTGA